CCATTTCAAGATTTTTACGTTGAAATTAAATATATTTTCAAAAGAAGAATATTCTTTTTTCTGTGCACTAATATTTTATGATGATAATGCGTATAGTATGATATAGCACATAATCCCAGCAAACACAGAACATTGCAGCAACATCACGGCAATGTTGTAACAATGTAGCAACACTACAGCAATATTACATTGCCGCAACGTTGTTGCAATGTGTTTGCTGGGATGTGACAAAGGAGCAGGCACTTTGAGAGCGTTTCCTTTAACTTTACAACCTTGAGAATGAAGATCTAAACCAATCGTTTGTATAACATTTCCTTCTTGAATTCTTATTCGTCTCTGAATTTATTCAACTGGACTGCTCAAAGTACTGATGTGTGGTTAAGAAATTCGCTCTATTTAAAGAGAAAACTCCTAATATGAGATAGCAGAGTTTCTGTTAAATTAACAGGCATCATCTGTTGGCTTCGTCATGAATTTATTGTCCTTGGAGTGAAATCTGCTTAGTGGAAAATTTATTGTTGGCTCGCGGAATCGTCGTGGAAAAAGATTTGCGATTGAACTTGGATGTTGCATACAGGGAACTTTCCTCTATATATAATTTAGATATATACAATAGACTATGTAATCATTGCATTATTGTTATACATTACATAATAATTTTCTTTAACAAGCATCAACTTTTTATAAGGAAATGCAGAGCCCGCGATAACTGGCGAAAAACTGCTTAATAAATACATTGGACTCTCACTGCGGATTATCGTGATGATGATTGTGACGATTACGAGAATTTGCAAGGAGAGTCCAATTACATCTTCAAAGGCAAATTAACTCATTCGGTAATCGTTGGGTGCTTTGAATTTCCTTGCAGGAAATTAGCGTCTGATGAACAACAAATGTAATTCAATTAAGCAGCGCTGTGGAATCGCCGGCTGCAAAGTTATTGTCCACCTCTTTTTATCGGGGCATTTGAAGTATCGTGACGATATTAAATTGTTTAGTCTGGAAAATAAATGGAGGATTCCCTCCGCCGCCAATCGGGAAATTACAAATTATGAAGGAAAGCTACCGTTTAATCTATACACGAGAGTCTGATGTAATTTTATTTTATCTCTCGATACGCTCGCTGTATTATTGTGTTATTATAATTGTATTGTAAGGGGGAACTCTTACATAAAGCTCGTATTCTATTTTAAATAAATTTACACTCGCGTGAACAAAGTGAAATAATTCGCCCTCTTTAAAATAATAGAATATGATCAGATTACAATGCAATTTCAATGTAAATTAATAAGGCTCTTATTTATTGACATTGAAAGGGCATGTAATCTAATGCAATCTGTTCATCTAATATTTTAAACAGGGCGGATGTTAAAAAGGATTTTCTTACATTTTCTTTTAATACACTCTTTTTTTTCTTCGTGCAGGGCGTCAAATTCCATTATGTGGAAGCGGGAGACAAGAGTAAACCGCTCGTGTTATTATTACATGGATTCCCGGACTGCTGGTTGACTTGGAGGGAACAAATCCCATGCCTCGCGAAACATTATAGGTACATTCGATAATTCAATATTTATAAGAGTTTTATAATTTTATAAGATAAAGTATTTCATAACTCACGCTAGTGTAAAACGCTCACATGTTTCAATGCTGTTCTAGAGTAGTGGCTATTGATTTAAAGGGATTCGGCGACAGCGACAAGCCGCTCAACAAGCGGTCTTACAAGGTCGAAATTTTAATAGACGAGTTGAAACAATTCATCTTGACTCTCGGCGTGAAGACGTGTAGTATAATCGGTCATGACCTAGGAGGACTTCTGGGCTGGTACATGGTCGCTCTACACAAAGACATCGTTTATAAATTCGTAGCTATTTCGAGTCCGCATCCCAATTTCTATTGGAACAGAGCATCAGGAAATTCCGCCTTAGACAGAAAGTACGTATATCTTCGAAATTGTATTCACAAATATCCGCGAGAACTTTGACGTGTCACGTGGGCGTGTAAAATTTTACATTTGCGCATTTTAATGGCGAATAATGCGCGTTTCAGGTGGATACATTTCAGCAGACTACCGTTTCTGCCAGAAATAGATGCGCTTAAAGAGGACTTGTCTATTATCAACGATACATTTCGACACCTTCAAATATCTCAAGATGGCATAGAAAAAAGTTATGTCGAGGCATATAAATATGCCTTCAGTAGGAAAGGTAACTTAATTTTAATCCTTATACAATAAGTTTTGCGTTATACATTATTCTTCTTTTACATTTGCTTGTATATAAAATATTAAAATTAAAATTATTTTTATAGAGGACTGGACAGGACCGATTAATTATTATCGCAACCTTCCATTCACAAGACTGAATATAGATAGTGGCGAACAGATTGATAATAAAACGCTGCTTCTAATCGGAAATATGGATCCTTTTGTAACGATAGAAAGCATCATTCAAAGTGCCGAGCACGTAGAAGTGTCCAGGGTCAAAGTCATACCAGGGGCGCAGCACTTTCCACATCAAGAAAACTCAGACGCCGTAAATAAGGCAATCGTTAAATTTTTACTAGGTGAGTTTTATTTCGCCTATTTCTCTTGCATAAAGCTTCCTTACAAAAGTCGTATCATTTATGATATATTTCGTATGTATATAATATAAAATGTTTTAGGTACAACGTCTAACGTGACGCCATCGAAAACACCTGTAAAGAGTCTCGTGTCCTCCTGGCTAGGATCTCTAACAATAAGTAACACCGTTAAGTATGGCAATCAGATGATCGACACTATGCACAAACGAACTAACGATATCGTGAACGTTTTGCCCAATAAAACACTTTATTTTGGACAAACAAGTTAGATGGTGTTACATAATATCAGCGTTATGTTATTTAGAACTTTGCACTTTGTTACGAAGAATCTAGATATCCTACCTGCGCTAACGCTGACGTGTGAAACTCATAAAAGGCTGATTTGGTCCTATTTATTACTTATTTCTTATGTAAGTATGTCATTACATTCATTGGGGATTGCAATTTTTGTGAATGACGAAGTCTCGTATCTAGATTTCTACCACATTCACTTTTACACGAGCGATTTATCTCGAATTATTTTTAGTATTTTTTATATGTAGTCTTAATAAGATCTGTATGGGTAATATATAATGAAATATATTTTTATAATCGCATATAACCATTATTTAAAAACAAGATTAATAGAACATTAATAGAAAACAACATAAGATTTTCGGCATAAATCTATGAATATTTAAAAAGACTTATTGTTAGTACCTCATCAAAGGCAGTTGTAAATAATAATACATTGCAAGAGAGCGTATCTCCTGTATCTTCTAAAGATCATGATTTCAGGAAAATGAATATTAATAAGAATAATCTATGGATATTAATTTGTTTCTATTCTCAACAAAATACCGATATAATGGTTATAATTAAGTAATATTGAATATTAATTATATAATCAATATTTATATTATTTTATTATATTAATTACAAATTAATATTGTAATTGTATAAATTATATATTTGTAGAATTATAATATTATAATTATGTACAAAAACACTTCGCATATGTTGAAATTGTAATATTATTTAATATACGAATTTTTACTAAACAAGTATCGATTAAATTGTGTAGCAACAGATCAAAACTTGTTGCACGTTA